GCATATCACAGGTAGTAAACACATGCTCTTATAAGAATGCACTACAGAGTCACACACATACTGTACAGCCTAATCCAGATCAGTCGTAGACCGCAGAGTGGCCAATACCAACATCACTCGTTGCATGCAAATGTTGGTCACATGCACACACACCACCTGCCTCCTCCTCTCTTTATATCAGAGAGGTTGTGAAGCTTGTTAATATAACATGCAGCAGGTTAGTGGTTTCAACCAATGCAATTCAAAAAACACAGTTTTCTTCTCCTCCAGTCTTCAAGATTTAACCTTTTTTTTTTTTTTTTTACTGCCATGACAACCAGTGACAGTCAGTGGGAAGACAAAGCAGCACTGTTACAATATCTATTCATAAGAAAGACACTTTAAGACTGTGTTGTTACTTTGGAGGCTAAAAGACCAAAAGAAAATACAGATAATTAGTTGATTTAAAACCATGAGGTGCTGTTTACTTACATGCAGGGGCTCATCCTCTGCAGATATGGCGTTGTTCACACACAGAGCCTCCAGAAACTTCTGCTTGAGGATGATGTAACGAAACCTGAGACGTCACAGACGATGTTAGAAACCGTGGCACAAAAGCTTTTCAGTGTTGATGCTGTTTGTGTCTAACTTTGCTCCAGTACACAACATCATCATACACTTCCAACCAAAGAAATCAAATAAATGCAAGTTAAAAAAAAAACTAATTAATAGTGAGAATGAACACACCTTTTTCCGTCAAACTTATCCATGCACTCTAAAGGCTGAATGAACTGCAAGACCTCATCCCATTGACCATCAAGAACCAGTTGCCTGAAAGAGAAACAGTTCCATTTCAAATACAAAGACAATGCATTGAAGGATGCCCTCATAGAAAAATGTCCCACAAATGTGCAAACTCATGACTGTTAATGTCCACATAAGAGGTTAGAAACCACCTTTTTGTTGTAATAACTTTTAATAAAGGTGTAGAATGACAGGCAGAGTAGAACTACATAAAACACACTGTTAGCTTTAACTGAGCTGCAGTTAGTTTGACACATCTCAAACTGTAGAGGAGGAGGATGATGTTCAGTGTTAGTATGCAGCTTTTTTGGAGGTGGAATCTGAGATGTCAGCATCTAAACTATGTAGTGGTTGCAGGGGGTTACTGTTGAGCTCATCTACCTGAGGAAGAGCATGTCGTCTGAGTAGAGCCCATTGATGACGCCGCTCTCCTTCTCCAGAGCCAGCATGCTGATGTGCAACTTTCTGGAGTTGAGAAAGTCCAGGATCACCTTGATGATCTCCACCTCCTTCACATTAATGGTTTCCTCCGCTGTCATGGTGACGACGGACTGCAGACGACAAGGACATGTGAGCAAATCACTGATATTACTGAACGCATGACATTTTTTTTCTTTTTTACATTGAAACACCCAAAGTAACTGAAGCAGACTTTTAAGCAGATGATGAAGGGGCTCTGGATCAGGATAAGACCAACTTTATCTACCAAACAGCTGTGCCACATTGTGATAAAACAACCCGAGATAGAATTTCACATGTCTACGCTGGCCAGAGTAGTTATCTGATATCTAAGAAATCTGATGATATGTTTGATTTTCAAATACAAACATTACAACATAGACAATTTTTTTTTAATTTTGCTTATTATTACGTCTATTTTTTTCTTCTCCCTCTGGACTTGTGCAAATGGGTGGCATGGAAAGAATTAAAAGGCGATGCTGATTCCAGTTTTGATCTTGATGATCAAAATTAAAAGCATGTTTCAACAATTTTTAACTTACAAAACCATAAAATCCCTAAAAAAAAAAAAAAAAAAAAAAGGTCTTGACGAGAATTCAGCTCATCAGGTAGGATTTTGCTTTCACGATATGCTTGATTCCTAACACATGATTCTGAAATATTTGCCACATCTTGAATCATGTCGATACGGAAATTATCCTTATAGCTATGTTATCGATATCAGCAAACTTGACTGGCAATATTGGCCATTTTCTCTTGCAGAAAGCATCTAAAATGCACGAAAAACATCTGCAAAGAACAGAATCTAAAGTGCCCTGTGAACCTGACAGTACTGTACAGTATTGTCTTTTATTTACTGGCACTCCGGCCAAAAGCTACTATTTGTGAAATCAGAAGGCATGGTCCCTTATCCCACTGTACTGCTCCTGATCTGTAAAGTTTAACTTTTGAAGATCAAAGGTGTCAAACCAAACAGCACAGCACATCAGTCCCTGTTGTGATTTACAACAAACCCTTGTTGGGCATCTTCAACCTACTCAAAGACTTCACAGTAAAATGATGGATTGAGAATAAGACATTCTTGAAGTTACTTTCTTCAGAAAAACCCATCCTCTATCATGAAAAACAAAAACACGAGTTTACAAAAAACAAAAAGTATAACAATTTAGAGATTGTTGCATCATCAAGACAGTACCTCTGGTGTAGGTATGTATCTTACTTTGACATGATACACAATCCACATGTTGTGTTAACAGAGGAGAGAGTCATTTCTTTATCCTTTTGTCGTGACAGTAGTAAGCCTTGCATGCAAACACAACATCTAGATGTGTGAGGTGGACAATGCTTCTCCCTGCAGCTATCAAACAAAGTATGAAAAGCAAGAGTTCCTGCTTACAAGCATCAGAGACAGGGGCACTGCAGTCCTGCTAAGCTAGCATGAGAGATGGTTAGCTAATAACACTGGCACTAAGTCAAACAGTGTAAGAAGCTTAGGCTACTTGTTAGCAGTATAAGGCTTCTGAATATAGCGAGCGGATTATAGAAAACAATCTAGTTACAGAAAAAGCTCATACAAAGCTGGCTAATTTAACGCTCTGGAGGGAGGGGAGGGGGACTACTAGCTAGACAGGCCGAGGGGAGTGAGGCATCATCCGCTAGTTAGCTGTCCGGGCGGGGTGCGCACTGACAGCTTTCCCAACAACAACAACATAAATCTGCTTCTAACAATGCTTACCTGTGTCTAACAATACATGAAAACAAATCCCCGGGTGTTTCCGTGCCGCTGACAGACGCTGTCAAGACGGTACCGCTCGGCGTAGTGAGGGCTGGTGGTCGTGTTGCCTGGTTGTCCCTCCTCCTTGTCTCAGTGTGTCCCCCCTCCTTGCTGGATCTTTCTGCGCTGCTCCTCTGCGGTCTGCTGCTGCCCAGCCCTGCCTGCCTGTCTGCCTGCCTGCCGCCTGCCGCCTGCCTCCTGCAGGAGCACCGCCTCCATACATCCTCCAGCCACTTCACATCAGCAGCACCTTGGACAACATGTTAGCAGCAGAGTACTTAAAACTGACTGAGAACATTAAAATAAAACAAAAAAAAAAAAACAGGCGTACCCGGAAACTAAAATAGAGGGCCTTTAATATTCATGTGCATTGCATCCTTATTGTCTTACAAAATTTGTCAAAATAGTCAAAGGAAATGTAATGTATATGTTGTGCTTTCTTTCCCTGAATCAATGGCACTGGATTTGAAGAAAGAAATGGACATTAGAAAGGTCCAGAGATACAGGAATGAATCGCAGTAGATGCAGGGTGTGGAGGACGAGATCTGACAGAAGTATAAATAAATAAATAAATAAATAAATGTATAAATAAATACTGGAATAAATAAATAAAATAATGAATAAATAAATAATTGAATGCGTGAATAAATAAATAAAAACTGGTAAATAAATGGGACATAGATAATTAAATGTCTTAAATTTATTTCTAAATTTATTTATTTCCACATTTATTTATTTCTACATGTATTTATTTCCACATTTATTTATTTCTACATGTATTTATTTCCACATTTATTTATTTATAGATTTATTTATTTCCATATTTATTTATTTATAGATTTATTTATTTATTTATTTATACTTCTGTCAGATCTCATCCTCCATAGCAGGGAGGGGCCCAGGGAGAAAGACATGTAGGCTACCTGACACAGAGTTTCGTTCTGAGGCTCTACCTGAACTCACAATGCTCGCTGTGTCTCTGCAAACCCGTAGATTGAGTGGATTTAGCTGCAGTAAGATCTCATATTAGTACATGCAACTTTGCCAATATTTGGACAAGAGACTGGGACTGGAGATGAGTGAGGGATTAGCACACTGAAGGTTGCCACACCCTAAAGCATGCTCTTTTTTTTATTGGCTATTTTAAATTGGAAATGATTTACAAAGTAAGCAGGAAGCTGTATTCAAGAATACCTACAACTAAAAAGGCGACAAATGAACGGTTTATTCTTTCGCATTCAGTGGAGATGTATCTGCTGGAAATACAAAAGGATTAAAAATAGGAAGGAACAGATCAATTGGAGCTTACACTTTGGTCAGTTTTGGAGAATAATACAGATAAAAACTGATTGGAACTGACTTAATGTCTCAGCTGGCATACTTTTTTTTTTTTTAACAAATCCCTAAATGTAATCATTAGGAAAAACACAGGGCGTATGACTTTTTAACAAGTGAAAATAACATCCCATTGGCCAAACATTTTCAGAATTTTAGCTATGTATCAAACACACCTTAAACATTTGTCCTACATTTCACCTGTTTTAAGAATTAGTTTTTAACTATCAGGCCATATTCTACAGATTTATTCTACAGACAAAGAAATCAAGTTTATGGCCAAAACAGAGGACTTTCTCAATTACTCATTTTTAAATTGAATAGCCTGAAGTCTTTAGTATTTAGTGTCTGCAGCAGTAAAGCCTCGTTAGTCGGGACAAAAATACACATGAGCACCAAAACAGACAATGACTTTGTTTATAATGAAACCAAAAGTATGTCTGATGTGCAGAGTAAGTTGATTTTCAGTTTGCTGATGATCTGTTTATGCAAAGAGATATAATAATGACGGCAAAACAAAGTGGGTAGATAATACTGAACTCTTATTTAACTTTGAAAAGATAAAGACAATTGGTTGGTTTTTATTACATCAGACATGTTTAAATAATTGATCATGAACAATCGGTTGAATCAAATGAGACACACTGAATACTGTTTATAGCTGGCATTTTAATGAAGCTCAAAGGAATAGAAAAAAAACATGAACAGTTGAGCCCGTGTAGTTAATCGAAAATTAAAAAATGAATTCAGAGTTGGGAAAAATACTATGCTCTTTTCATTATACTTAATGGATTTCATACAATACTACAATAAAGCTTCAGTAAGACTTCATATACCTTGCATCATCGGTTACAATTTGCTTTCAACACACTTCCTTCCACAGCCGTACGGCTTCATGAATACACACGTTCAACAGGTAAATGTCATTACAAAAAATACTTCTATATGCCAAAATATATCTGTACAGTGTCAAAAACATACTGAAGGAAAACATGATGAAAAATGTAACAGAACTGTAAAAACAAAGTAGCAATTGGGACCATCATGAAGTGGAAACAACAGTGGACAAGGTCCTGAAGTGCTATCATTTGTGAGTTCATTTATTTACAATTGTGGACGACTTTGAGGGTAAATCGAAATCTACTATTTAAGACAAAATCCTCATTAAAGTGGCATTTTGAGTGAGTTTCAACTGAAACATCCTCAATGGTGATTTTTAAATTGCACAGAGTGATGACAAAGTGTCGGTGTTTAATCTATCTATACTACTGATGATAGTCTTCTCAGTGACACTGAGGAGTGCTCACACTCTTTGCATTTTTAGCACAATAAAAGGCCCCATAGGACAAACACACTGATACACACACACACACACGATAACTTGTTAAAGCTACTCGAAACGCTACTACAAGCTGACTTGTTCATTTTCAATGGATCTGCCATCATATACAAACTTATTAAAACTTATAATCCTGTAGTATTTTCTGTGTCTCTGAGTAAAATCTACTATGACTTTTAAAATATATCCAAAGCATTATCAAAATGAAATAAATTAAGAGTCTGTTGCAGCTGCTTTCCACAACTGTTCGATGGCATTTCATATACTCCACAAAATCAGCCCCTCTTTTGGAAAGTAACTGCAATCACAAACTGAGGTTTTGTCCTCAGTCTCATTGGCACTTCACTTTACACACACACATACACAAATCTGTTTTTTCAGTCACATATTAAAAAAAAACAGTAAAACATGCCTCAAGAGAAGCTCAATAAAACTCGTCCAAAATGCTGCCTCCACCTGATCCCAGATCAGACACACACCCTGGGCTTTAGGAATGTTATCTGATCTGAGACCTGTAGTTACACACAACCTTACATGAAGTACAACAGACTTGTTCAAGAGATGCTAATGAAATGACACCAACACTCACGGCACATCCATATGACACAAAACAAGCATAAGGCCACACATGAACAACTTAAAGAAACCAAAGCGCCTCTGTCAAAGGCGTGACATTCACTGCTTCAGTGGTTCAACTATGTAAGGCATCGGCCCGCCTATTGTTTTCTTCTTTTTTTGGCACAGGAGAACATTGAAACACATGCTGACAAGCACACAGGTGTGCCCAAAATTGAAGTAGTCCAGAGTGTAACAGTCACCTCTGTGTGTAACAGTGTCTGTGAGGCCTGCTTGTGTTCCACATTCCAGTTGTGATTTCTTACAGTGGGACTAAATTATTCAGTCCAAATCTACTTTGGGTGCAGTTTCTTTGGCGTACCCTGCTTCTTTGTTTGCCACAGATGACTGGCGATGGTGATGGCGTCCACGCTGGCGGACATTGTTTTGGCAGGGATCAGGCTGAACTGCTTCCTGTCCGAGTTGTATTTGTACAAGCCCTCGATCATCTTGGTGGTGATGCTCTTTGGCCCGATGCCAGCAAGTTTGATGATCTCCTCTGTTTCAGGGCAGTACGTGTACACGGACCTGAACTGGCAGCCAGAGTCACGGAACAACACCAGGAAGCTATTGGCTTCAGATTTCTCCATTTCCTGCAAAAAATATCACAGAAAACTTATTGAGAGATGATCTGGTACCATTTTTCTTTCACATCAAGAAATCAACACCTAAATTTGAGTTTTTCCCCCATGCTTAGAACCGCTTCAAATACTTGTGCGATAAGAAAAATGAACATATAATTAATATTATTCAAGATTTCCTTTTTAGACTTTTGCTTTTATTTGGTCAGGACATCAGGAGAGAGAGTGGGGAAAGAAGCCACAGGTCGGACTTAAACTCTGCCTGCCCACTTGGAGGACCAGGTCCTCTGTACATTGGGCGTGACCCAAACGCTACACCATCTGTGCCCTTTATTCAAGAATTTGAATAACCACCAACCTGTATGAATAAGAAATGTTGGCTACCATTGTTGCATGGTTTGGCTCAGTACACTAAAAGTATCCTAAACTAAAAACATCTTGAGTGTCAGTAAATTGAGTTGAAACTGCTTTATTTTGTATCTTTATCAGTTGTAATTACATAAACTTTGAATAAGCCATTTTGCTAGCTCTGCTAATCGTTAACTCTATGCTAGCAGCTAATTGTTTGCAACTGTAAAGCAGTAGTTGTTTGTAGCAACCATCATATATATCATTGCTATGTAGACTACTGTTTTGGACATGAAGAAATAAATTGGGAGGCAAGCTAACAACGGTACTGGATAGAAGCTTTGACTGGTGTGCTGGCCACGACCTTACACCACATTTCAGGAGGCTCTTTGAGTACTTATGAGCTATTATGGGTGCAGAATAATATTAAATTGAGAGAGACACACAAAATTCTGAAACATACATCCAGTATCTTGTTCTTTTGCCCTTCATTGACCTTGCCAGCCAGGCAGCAGTGGGACAGGGCATTCTGGATGATGTGTTTGTTGGATTTAGCGCTCGGCTCCTTGTAAAGTTTGGGTCCTGCAGGAAAGAAAGAACAGGGACGAGATTGCAAAAAGGAAAGTGTCATGTAAAATTGAATGTTCTGTACAGTAACTTGTGTATTTTGGTAAACTCTGCATATGTATCATACCTGTGTACTCAGCGTTAGAGGGAGTGGAGGAGGTGGTGGAATCATTTTCCCAATCCTTCTCTCCGTTATGACTACCAGTCGAAGGGCACGAGGAGAAACCTTCTGCAGAGTCCGGCCTGGAGACGAACACACAACGAATGACACAAGCAGACACAACAAAAAACCAACGACAAACATGTTGATACACAGAAGCAGGAATGAATAGCAAAAGCCAACAAGGACAGAGTGCACAAACAGACATGCAGACACACAGATATAAAACACACACAGAGAGATGGAGTAGAACGGGGTCAGACGCTGTGACACAATTCACCAAACCCTGCCTGTTGTCTCACATTACATCACAGTCGGACTGAGCTGTGAAGCGAGGGGCAGAAAGGCATGTTCAACCAAGCAAAGCGAAGACTCAGAGCGGCCATTATGAGAGATGGCATCAAGAACTTGTGGAAGTAATAGTAAACACAGTGGTGAAGCGCAGAGCAGCAGACAGAGAGAAGAGAGCAAACAAGCCGGAGAGCAGTACTGCAAGAGACAGAGAGAGGATACAGAGCAGGAGAGCTGAGGCAGAAACATCTCAACTGTGCGGGATCCTGTTCCTTCACGCAGAAGCAAAAACTGCAGCCATGGGTTATGTTGAATCATTTCACAGTTGAAACATCTGTCAACTGGCTACAATGGAACAAAGCCTTATGTCCGATCGTTTCATGGAGCTATTTGAGATGGAGCCACATCTACTACACCTCATCACTCGGAGCATTACTGACCTTCCCTTTCTTTCTTTAGGAGAGCTTAGAAAGAACGGGATATTTGCAAAAGCAATTTTATTGCCTCTGAGGGACGCATGCAGGATAAAGAGAAAGAGAGAGAGGAGAGTCAAGATGCAGAGTTAAGGCCTCTACAGATGATATCTGGGCTTGACACAAAAACTGGGATTAGAATGGGGAGGCTTTAAACGTTTGTTGTCATCTTGGTGGTACTAAATAATGAATGGACAGCTGCAACTAACCAGCTGCAGAATATGCAAATGTCAAAATGAAACAATTGGAAACATTCTGGAAAACTTGTTTTAGTGAAGAAGATTCTCAAACATTAATAACTAATGTGACATTGTGAAAGTTATAATCTGATATCTCTGAAGAAAAGATGCTGTAAAGAGTGGCGTTTGTTAGCTCACTTTGACAAGTAACTTGAGAACGGGGAAGTGGAAAGAAGCAGGATAAAAACAGAACAGAGTTTGGATCACTTTACCAGTCAATATATTTTTCAACAACTACAGAACATTAAAGTTTGCAGAGCAGCAAAGTTTACTCACAAGCTTTAATTGATTTAAATTTTGCTGCCTGATAACGATATTGTTGAGCTTTTTACAAAAACATTTAACATGTGAAACAAATTGCAAACTATGTATACACCTTAACCTCAACTTAATTCACAGTTAAAAGTAGGACAAGACCGATATGGGATTTTTGGGGCCAATACCAATATCAATATTAGGGAGAAAAGTAACTGTGCATGTACGTACATCACTGCTTCACACTCTGGAGAGTGAGAATAATGTTGAAAATGATAATGTTGTAATCCATATCGCACACTCTGCTGGTGAAAGAGAACTGCTAGTGTAATACAATGAAACTCAAAAAAATGCTATTTGAATGGTAAATAAATCAAGCAATATCAGCGTATATCTGCGATAAAACTAGCCAATACAGATAGTTATTTGATATGCTAATAGCGGACGATATTATTGGCCTGCCAATCAATTAATTCAGAAGAGTTCTCCATGGTTTTCTACAACACGTTAGGCTAGTAGGGTGCAGGTTGAGATAGTTATTTCTTGAGCTTGTTTTATCTGAGATTCATTATTCTTTAGCAGCTTCTCACCTGTTGTTCTTCTTGTTATTTGGCTGGTCTCTGTCGTTGTCTGCCAGATTTAGAGAGGCCAAAGAAACACTTGATACAGAGAATCCTCGAGGACGCACTCCTGCAAAACAAAACATTCAGGATCAGTGGCTATCATAGAGTGTTTGTGTGTGTGTTTAGTTTGTTTGTCTGCAGGATTTGAGTTCAGCTCACCTGTTGTTCTCACAGGAGGAGTGGATGACTCCATGACGTCTCTGTGGATGGATTTGGGCCGCGGCTTCTTCTTCAGACTTCCAGATCGAGGTTTTATGACGTCGTTCATGTCCACCATCAGCTTGAGCTGCTTCTTTCTCAAAAACTCATTCCTGATATATTCCCTCCTGTCCTTCTCCTCATCCTTCTTCTTCTGCTGCTCCTCAGCTTTCAACCTGCAGGAGAAGATAGAGATTGTTTTTTGTATGAATGCAAAGTTCTAAACACACAATGTATGTTTTGATGCCATAAACCTGTGTACAGTGGATTAATTGGCCCATAAAGTATCAGACAGACCGTGCAGCTCCCTTCTTCTGCTCCTGGTCCAGCTCGTGCTGTTGCTTCTTTTCCTGTGTCTCCTTCTCCCTCCTCAGTCTCTTCTCCAGCAGAGCGGCTTTCTTTGCTGCCATGTCGTCTTCCCCTTTCCCATCATCCTGGTGTTTGATGGGAACACAGCACAAGTCTGATTATTTGTCGAAATATGTTCACTGAATCTTTGTAACCTTTATTAGGACCTGGTAGATACACTGTTCTAGTTCTGCCCACTCTAGATCTACTGGTAATTAACTGCATCTTTAAGTAATTATGACATACAGCACCTTAATATGTAATATATTATCATAATCTAAGGATTCCTTCCTTTTTTTATGTGTTTTTACTGACATTGCTCTATGACCAGAGCTCATATGGTCTATGATGCATCTTTAATTCATCTATGAGTTGTCTTAGGCACAAAGCTTCACATGTTGATCCAGACTGACACAGTATGAGATTCTTTGTGTCATGTCTAACTTCACTTAGCACCATGTGGCTTATTAGACTGCATTATAAATGGGATGCTAATTAACTGTTTATACCAATTGGCATTTTAGATTTGTTGCTGTGGTTACTAAAGCACAGGGAGGGAGAAACTGTGGAATTTAAAATCCATTAAAATAGCCCCTTTTCACGGTACGCATTTTGACCTGCTACAGCTGCAGATAATTACATTACTAATTGCTGCATTTCAGGCATGTGGACACTGTGTGCATTAAAAAAGGTTTTTAAGAAACTTCCACAGTTGGAAATAACGCAGAAACAACAGTGTTCTGATGCTCGCAAGGATAGCAGGATTCATGCTAGCAGGTTAGCTAACATGGAGAACATTAGGCAGAAAAAACAAGCCAAAATATAAGTCAAATTTATAACTTGGGAAAGCTTATGTTGGCCTTGAAATCATTACCAGGGGAACTTTGCATGTCTTTTTTGTCTTAAAATAAATGTAGACATAGCTTCAAGCAAAATGTTAGCATGGTGGTAAATTAGCTTTGCTTTCTAGCTTCCGAGTCTCAGCCATTGTCTGCACAAAAACACAAAAAGGCCACCACACACAGTGCAGATGGCAACAGAAAGCAGCACAACTTGTCTTTTTAGTTCTAAGAACAAACCTTTATTTTTCATTTGATAAGAAATATTGTTCTCTTAATTTTTTTTGTAACTTCAGCTCACCTTGAAGAAGAATCCACAGCACATCTTCTGGTCCTCTCCATAGGTGTCTCCTCCTGCCTCTCCCTCTCCCTCTCCTGTCATCTCCTGACCCTGAGTTGGACCTACTGGTGCTTTCAGTTCAGACAGAGGAACCTCTACCAGGTCTCTTCTGTCCTGGGGGTCTCCCTTGATCTGGCTGCTTGTGGGTGCTTGGAGGTCAGACACCGGTTGACGCAACACCTCCGATGACCTCGTTGGCTTGACTTCACCCTGCGACTGAGCCTGCTCTGTCTGTTTTCCTTCCTCCTGCCTCACTTCTTCTTTCCCTTTGGCTGCTTCTTTACCAGATGGCTGAGGAGTGCCAGCACTCGTCGTTGCCTCTGTCTCGTCTCTGTCCTCAGCGTTTTCCTTGTCGATCTTGCTGTCTTGGTTGTTGCTCTCCCCTGATGAGTCATCGTTGCCCATGTAGGCAAAAGAGCAGATTTGAGATTGGCTGGAGTTGAACCGTCTCAGTCTGGGCAGACTGTCCACAGAGGTGGGGGTGTTGAGCATTCGGCTGAAAGGTGTGACCTTAAGATCATTAGGTCTTGGAGTCCGAGGTGTCCTTGCATGGAAGGAAGCAGGCCGGCGCTTAATGCCAGCAGGGGAACGATTGGGAGCGTGTGGAGAGCCAGAAGAGGAAAGGATGGGAGATAAAGACCCAACAGAGCCTCGTCCTGATCCACGGCCTGTTACACTGCTGCTACGCAACTCACGGAGTTGCCTATGTGTGTGTGTGTGTGTGTGTGTGTGTGTGTGTGTGTGGGGGGGGGGGGGGACAGGACAGGACACAAGGCCATAAGAGTGTTAGCAGGATGAGTGTAAAATTATAAATGATCAATACCTCACATTTAGAGATTACCTGTGTGGAGAGGGGGCCGGAGGGGGGATGACCCAGGCTTGTTGCTGTGGCTCTCTCATGGCCATGATCTTCTCCTGCTGCTGAGCCAGACGCTGCATCTCAGTCTGCAGGAAGCTCAGTGATGTGTTCAGCCTCTCGATGGAGCGTGTGTAATCTGCAAGGTCGATTTCCCCTGGAGTCACACCTGTGACACCACAGAATACACACAGGAGATTCAGTTAGTAACCAGGTTGAGAAGAAAGTTTGATAAGATTGTCAGCACAGAGAAACCTCCTCATTGTCGCTCATCTGTCATGTGAAGTATTTTTTCACTCCAGGTTCTGAAATGTGAAATTTGGGCAATTCATGGCTTCTTTTTCACTATTTTATAGATAAGATTGAATTATTTATAAAATGTACATGACAAAAAAAACATAACTTTCATTTATAATAGATATAAATAATGCTTAAATGCTTCGAGCCTAACAAAGTTTGAGAAACAAACTCTGCTCAATGTTCCTCTGTAGTTCAGTTCATTTAGGCTGGTTTGAAAGTAACAGTCTAACCAGGATTGTGGAGAATTATGCATTTTGGCAGTCCCTTATTTATTCTGTAGATAACTTTATTTTTATAAATATTTATTTGTCTTAGAACTGAATTCCCAGCCTTGTTTTGAAAGTTACTATATAAATAAGGTTTGTTTCACTAAAATAATAAATACAAAGCAAGTGTAAAGTAATGATGGCAACTACGCTTAATCTCCACCATAATTCATTCAAAAAAGTATCTTTTTTTAAACCAAATGCACAGAATAAAAAAGGTATGGCTGCTCTCTGGATTGTGGATACTCACCTCCACCATCCTCACAGGGGGATTTAGGAGCGGCTCCATCTGGTTTGCATCTCTCTGCACGCTCTATGCTGCCCTGGCTGCTTTCCTTTGAGGACATTTGTGGCTCTGGAGAAGGTGTTTCTCCTCCACCTGAACTGGGGCTCAGCGGGGCAGTGACTCCTTTTCTCCTCACTACATTCAGAAAAGCTGTTCTGCCCATCTTCTGACGATGGCGGGTAAAAGCTGCTTCCACCTGGGAAAATGTAAAAATAGCATTATTTATACATTTACATTAGTATTCAAAGCCACATGACTTGCTATCTCTCTCTCTCTCTCTAAAACGTACTTTCTTCTTCTGGGCCTCAATGGCTCTCCGTTTCTCTTCAAGCTTCATTCTCAGTTGAATCATCTCTGTGGCTATCAGGTGTGAGGGGTCTCTATGGGAAGGCTTGACTGTAGAGGGAGATGTGATAGGTAGAGGAGGTGTAGAGATCTAGAAAAAGGTGCAAAGATCATTGTCATTACTTATACGCCAAATTGCATTTCTGTTTCTGCAACAAAATCAGAGTCAAAACTAAAAGAGGCACAAACCTGAGGTGAAATGTTTCTTGGCTGCTGTGTATACGGCACATTGACATCTGAACTCTCCGGCGTGGTTCCTCCACTGCTCCTCCCCTCCAGCTTCCTGAATTTTTGCTCTGCGAAGCTCGTCATACGGATCATCCCGCCTCCAGAGCCTCCAGAGGACGAGACAGGGCTGGCTGTGTGAGACCTGGGGAGTGTGTGTGCTGAACTGGGACAAGGGCTGCTCCTGTCACCTCCATCTCCCCTCCTCTCACTCTCGGGATCTGCATCATGGGGTTCTTCCCTCCCACCGCCCCTGCTCTTCTCTCTCACCTGATGGTCCACCAGAGGGCATGACCGAGTCATAGCCTCACAGTCCGGGTCCATGTCTGAATAGTCTCTGAGCGAGGAGGAGTCCTCATCCAAGCTCTGGATGTCCTCCGTCCTCACGTGGATTCCCGTGTCCACTTCATCCGTGGACACAGAGTTGGGGTCATGTTCATTCATTTGAGCCTTGGCTAAACCCGGGTCATCTTCTTGACCTTGAGCACCTTGAGGGTCTGACGGCTCTGCACCGTGGAGAAAGAATCCATTGTCTCCATCCCCAACACCGAGGCTGGCATGGGGCCTCTCTGTGTCATGTATTATCTTCAAAGCCTCCTCGATGCTCGGAGGAGTTGATGGGCTGATGTGGCTGCTGTGGTTGCCATGGTGATTACTGGGGCTGTGGTTGCTGTCTGGGAGTCCATTAGAGTACCTAGGGACAAGTTTTGGTAAATCAACTGATGGTAGTTAAAAGATCATGCCAGCGTATAAGAAAACTTTAAGAAAAATGTCCTTCTGAACCAATTTCAGATAACAAACAAAATGATTATCTTGATTGAGCAGATGAATTAGGCAGAGCAAAGCATGGCACAAATGATGTCTCAGAGGAGGTGCTTAATAAAAAATATAGATAAGAAGAAAAAACTAAATTACTTTCTCAATTTAACATCTCTCACAATATGTTTCAATGTTTGTTTTTTTGTGTTTTGTTGTTCTTTAACTAGTTACACTGATTAGTGATTAAGATATATATCTTTAAAACATACATAAAATAATAAAAACCAAAGTTTTCTTTTTCCTCAGTTAAAGATCATTCCTAAATCCTATAATACTATGTATTCACACCTACAACATGGTGATTTAGAGCATGCACAACTCCACTGTTGCTGTACCTGCTTTGATTCTTGAGTGAAAATGTGTTGTTCCGCCCTAGAGGCTTATGGGAGATGAAGTCCTCATCCTCCTCTGGTATGTGTTTGCTCTGGCCGTTTACACTGACAGGCATGAGGGAGAGGTGGCGCTTCATGCCCCCTCGAGGTGTAAAGTGAACTTTGAACCCGAGACCGTCACTGCTGGCAGAGCGGGTCATACCACGGGAGGGAACCTCACAGGCAGGTATCATTGGGTCTCCGTCCAGAGGGATCTCAAAGGAGATTCCCCGAGCGGAGGAGCTGGGAAGAAAGAAATGAAATGTTACTATGATAAGGAAACAGACCACTAAGCATATGGGAGTTTCAAATTCTATATACAATATATATATATACCTAATAAAGTTTAGGTACTAACCGCTTCTCTTTGGGCCATGTCCCGACACAGCCATCCACGTAGGACATGGAAGTAGATCTTTTCATTATACCTGCAACAGAAGATTCATATACTGTATTTACCAGAATAACTGTGACTGTACCATTCCAAGCTTTTCAATGGTAGTTTAAAGGTCTGTCATGTTCTCTTCACACTTCACCTTATGGTTATTTTTTCAGGTCATATATTTGTACTATATATACTGTATAATAAATAACAGTCAATTGTAAAAGGGGGCCTCAGAGATACTGCATTGGTGTAAATTAGCCACTAGAGGGCCTTGGCTTTCAAAACAAAACACATCCGCACACTATTCCATAACTCTGGATTCAGGCCTCAAGTTACAGTGTATAGCGGTATTTACATATTATTATAGTTTTTTCTAAATCACAGAGGACACATATGTGCTGTAAAAGCTGTGTTCAAAGGAATACTCTCACACTGACTCGTTGGATTAACAAGTAAATTACAAGATGAAATCTTAACAAGCAGTACGAACCTAACTAGTGCTTTAAATAACCAATGTGGTTTAAAAAGTGTTATGTGTTTCTTACCCACACATTTGATTACATACTGTATATGTATATCTATATATTTCCAAGCAGTCATGAGTATCCCAGGAAAATGGATTAGAGATCAGATTATTTACCCTCTGCAGGAATGTTGTCTGATCTGTCAGCGTTGTCTGCATAGCTCTGTTTGACTGGACTGGACACTGGAGCCATATTTCTGCAGGATGATACCAGCTCACATGCTGCAGAAAGAAACATGCATTTATCAAATTCAACATTCAGCTATCAGAGTTCCAAAAGTAGCATGAACAATACAATAACATTATTATTTTTAACAGCGTGTTGATATTACTGTAAAGCCATTCTTACCATTTGGATCAAAGACTTTGGGCTGCACAAATGAGGGTTTCACCACTTCAAACCACCAGAAAAGCTCAGCCATAAATACCAGGTAGTTACTCTGCAAAAGCACACAAACACGCACACATACATTAACACGCACACATGCGAACACAGACACACACACACATTTGTGATTAATGTTTCAGTCATTTGCAGTCTTTGCAGAGACAGATCGGTCGCTCTGTGTCACTGCAAAGATGTCACAATGGCAATATTGATAGATCAATGAGTTCACGGCCTGCCAACTGTTGCTAGGGAACAGCCTCAGGTTTGTGTGTAATTTAATGTCAGTATGTTCTTCATTGTCTGAGTGGTTTAATGGCAAACCCACACACCTCACAACAACAGCCAAAATCACCATCTGAGGTTTAGTTTCAATGTGACACATTATGCACAGATGGATGCACAAAGCAAAGAAGAACATTTAAGGCTATTATAAATAAGGTCATGATACAAACAGAACGTCTCTGGTCTCTTAACAGACCATTTCATTTGTTGAAAACATTTTGGTAAACACACAGACAATGGGGATAAAAAGATTACAAATGTTATTATATTCCTGCAAACTTTTAAGTTAAAGCTAGAACAGGATTGGATTTCTGAACAACATATATTTATCTGTATTATAAATGTAAAGAACATACACAGATATACACACACTGGTTAAGATTCAGAGGGCACTGAGTCTGTGAAGAATGAGCAGCGTGCCAGTCTCTTTAACTTCCCTTCAGTAACCTTTTCTTCACTTCAAATAATTACTCTTTAAAACAATGTAGTGAATCATAAAGGAAACGCAGAGCAAAGAGTGCATTTAAAGCAGTGCTGTGCTGTTTTGTCTTAAAGAATGGAAAGTCCCGGTCAGCCTGGACCGTGACTTGAATCTTGAATGTTTCTACCCACGCACTCTGCATACTATTTACCCAAACAGACTGCTGTTGTGATGTCTGGTTGGCACAGAGATGCTCATAAAGTTCCACACTTAGTTTTCCTTTAATCCATTATAACAACTGGTGTAAAATAGAAGAGCTCTCAGCCTGAGGGCCAAGTGAATCAGCTGCTGTGTTATCTAAGAGTTCACTGATATTTTGTTTGATAAAAACAAAATAAAAACAAAGGGGATGCGATAAGGGGGGGGGGGGGGGGGCAGGCAGAGATGGGTCAGGACTGTGACACTCCTCGGAGTAGAATCGGTCTCTGTCTGAGAGGGATAAAAAAAAAGGGGTTGGGGGTTGGTGGGGGTGGCCTGCACTGCTTGTACTAAAAAGGCACCAACACACACACATAGTAAAACCGCTGTAAGAGAGGCAAGCCTGCATATATCCAGTAGGAATCTTTTCCTTGCATGACTCATTTTTGCCTTGTTGTAATGTCCCGCTCTTACTCTACTTTCTACCCAAAACCGATTTTCCCCCTTTTTTTCTAGAACTGAATCCTCTTTACAAAAATAGCAACATTTCATATCCTTCATGTACACTTAAAAACATTAAAGACAGCCATATAAAAATGTTCAAACCTTTATGGATGCATGTGCGTAGAGCATGTCCTCCAGGCTGAAGTGGCAGCAGTGGTTGAGGTTGTTCCTACAGAACTCCTGCACCAGCTGGAGGTTGTACAGACTGTCAGCCAAAGACATAGTCTCCTTGAGGCAGATATCTGCTCAGCCAGGGGAGGGGTCAGGCACACAAACACACACAAGGGAGGGGGAGATTATAAAAGCCAGGCAGGAAGACGAGGAAAAGATAAGGCAAAGCAAGTGTTTAAAAAAAGACAGGATCAGAAGAAAATGGCCCTACTTTAAATGAGAAGATCTGTACCATATGCCTTAGCAGATTTGAATAACTAATCCCTCAAACCTTTCATGACTCAAGTTTTTAAACTGTTTTAAACTTCTGGTCAGACATTTGAACATGTCATTTAGTATATTACTGTACCCTAATGAATCAAGCAGCCAGTATATAAACCTAAATGAGGTTTAACTCACTGCCACATCTGGTCCACATGTGTAAGGGCTGCCTGTGAACTTTATTTAATCCCATGAGAATCCCACACTAGGGTTGTTTATCTTTGAAATAGCAGCCAGATACTCCTCCAACGGTTCTCTGTCACTTAGCCCTCATGACCAATCACAGCCTGACGTAGGGCATTTTTAGAAACGAGGGCGCAGTCGAGCTGAGAGGAAACAAGCCTTTACTCTCACTTTGTCTCCTACTCATTCTCCATGTCTGGTCTGACTTCTCTTTGACTCATTGTGATCTTTCTTTGGTCAGTATAAGCAACATCCTCCATAAATGTCTTTAAATGTAACCACAGAGGATCAAAACAGGCCCCAGTAACTCTTGATGTTGATGTTCTTTTCAGATTAGGATTAGAGTTTTAAACATTTCCTTCCAAATGCTGCTACACTGTAATCAAGAGTGAGTTGTCTTATTTGTGTGGACATATATATATATATATATTCTTTTGTATGGGGAAAAAAACCCTCAGATAATAAATCTGCTTTTTGTTGCCCTATTCAAACGTATGGTTTTAGTGCAGAAAGGAGGTCTTTGTCTGTCCCAGTGAAGACTGCAAATCATTGTGGTTTCCTCATTGTATGCCATTTATTTCCTATTTCTAATGGAACGACTGAACTGACTGTTTTTATGGTTTACTTTTCTGGAACATTACAGTGAAAGAGGGCGTGTCTACTGAGATTTAGGGTAAGGTCCCACCTTCCAGTCTGACGGCCTGTGGGCAGTAGAAGTGCAGCAGGGTGGTCAGGGCAGAGCCGTCCGTATTGTCCTTCAGCAGGTTCTCCACCAGGGGGAGTGACGGAGTGTTCCTCTGCTGAGCGTGCTCCTTCCTGTAGCGAGCCTGAAACCATGGCAACGACACAAAGATATCACCTATATGTGTCATCAGGGGGGATGTGTAGAGTTGGCTCTCTAACTGTAAGTGCAGACACACCTTTATCTGCATGCACCAGCGTGCACACGCACATACTGTAACTATCACACGTAATCACACACTCACTTATAAGTGTTAATTAAAGGTATTCCAGGCATATGGTGGGCTTCAAGCTGTATTCATATAATACAGATTAAATATATCATGCAAATAATCGAATAGCTTCAAGACGGAAATAGTCATCTTACTTATAAATGCATCACAAGAAGGCAATCATAACAATATAGCGCACTCTATGATTGCTTATGTGAATTGGTTAGTACTCTAAGTGGTGAGGTGTTAGTAGTGGGACTCTCATTTTCTATTGTTAGAGCAAAAACTGCTACATGTTCTTGAAACTCGATTGAACAGTTAATAATCTTGGTAAAGCATCCTTCCTGCCTGCAGGCGTTCTTTGAGTCTCACTGGAGCTGTAAAACTCACAGAAACACCACCAAATGTGTCTTCAGGGTGTAAGTACTCCCAGTTACACCATAATCACATAAGAGTGGTGTCTCCTGTGCATTTTGCAAGAGACATGATGAAAGCTTGAATCACAGCAGCTGTCATTGTCTGATGGCCTCTCAGTCTGCGCATCATCTTCTGAGGAAAGAGTTTTGCTCAAAATGCTACCATAGCAAACAAGACATTTGAAAGGGTAACCAACACCAGGGCAGTGGTATTGAATAATGATATTTTTAAGTTGACATTCTTAAAAATAATGAACTAATTAACTTTTAACATGTGATGAACATGCTGTAATCTGTATGCACTTCAAGGTATAGTTTTTACCCTGAAAGTTATGCAAGTTTCAAATTGTTAGTTTATCAGTCGCTGACTTCCTTGGCATGTGGAGACGAGGGTAGGGGGTGGTGTAGGGTTGGAGGTGTCTGACCAACACATGATTGGGCTCAGGGCCACATGCAATGAAAAGAGAATTGGAGGGAAGGATGATTAGGGGTTTATTCTTGCAGGTTTGGGATTGGGTAAATAGGATATATTTTGTTAAGTTCTTCAGAATGGATGGACTTACAGGTACTAGTCTCCAGTACCATTTGCTAGGAGACTTGATGTAGGATGATGATTGGACAACAACAGGAGAGAGAGGGAGAAGTGTTAGGCCAAAAGTAATGAAATACGTTTTGCTATAACAGTACTACATTCAGAAAACATTGGAACAAACCCTCTCTCTCAACAGTAGAAAGGACTGGACAGAATATGTGCTTAACCTCTGTGAAGACACCATCCTCTAAATAAGTCTTTCACATTCATCCAACCAGGAGTATGTAAAGATGAAGAATATCTAACTATAAGTGCCTATAATTCATCATATAATGGCTTTTTCTGTCTCAACTTCATAATGCACACATAATGCACTTTCCTCTTAATTACTGTAAGCCCATAAGCTCACCTGTTTATTTAGCCAACGGTCATGCAACTGTACAAATACCTTCGACTTTTGGCATAAACACAGAGACCATGTGTGTAGTATGGTATTGTTACAATTTGCCTCAAGTGTCACAAACGTTGCATTATATTCTAATCTACAAAAAAACTTTAGAGGCTACGCTTTCATCACTGTGAGGCTGCAATTTAAAGGAGCACTATGTAGATTTGGTAGTGACATTTTTATGTTGGAGAAGTGAAACAATTCTATGCTATATTTTCTGAACTTAATACACAAACTTTACTCAAAGTAAAAAATGGGTCCCTGGAACACTGTTTGGAGCTAAAAAGCAAACCAGGAGAGTTACGGTTTCACTGTTGCGGACCCCCTCCATAACTTCTCGCTTAGCATTTTATCTTCAAACAGTGTTCCAGGGACCAAATTTTCCTCTGAGGACAGTTTGTGTATAGAGTTATGAACATATACCACAGAATCTGTACACTTCTCCAACTTTCACATTTCTCTACCAAAACTACATAGTGCACCTTTAAGCTAATAATGCTAATATATGCTAAAAACAATGCTTACATTGTAGTGAAAATCATTCTGTTTACCATTTAACCATAGTTTACCCATCATGAACATTCCAATGTTTGCTAATAGGCACTTAAGAGAAAGAACAAAATCTTTTAGGATGGGAGTCTTTCAGGTACTGAGTCACCCAACAAACCAAAACTCAAACATATACAAATCCATGTACAAGATTGTGTATAGAATTGGATATTTTAATGGTTGTTTAAGACAGAATCAAATTACAACAGAGGCACTTTTGTAAGACACGGATAATAGCTCACTAATCCAAGGAAGTCCATGCATAACGTTTTAATATAGGATTCAATCTTTTCAGAGAGTCACTGTCCAGACGGCTCCACAGACAGAAAGAAAATCTCATTTTGTGCAAGAAAATAATTAAATCTATTCTATACAGTTTGGAAACCCTTTTAAATATCGGCACCATAAAGTACTTACTTCAGTGAACAAAAAAAAAGGGCCCTACATTAAAACTTGACTTCCTTAGATGAACTGGTGGAAGCTACAAATGTAAACTTGTGGTACTTATACAATGAACCAACTTGTCCGCTTATGCAGGTATCTAAGCACTAACATTCACATGGTATCCACACAAAAAAATGCAAAGATCTCAGTCATAAGACCAGAGATGGAGGTTTTTCACACCATCCCAGAACAGAAGAGACTTTCTGAGAAGTGTCTTGTGCTCATCCGTTAGTGTGTGTTCATGCCGGCATACATGCGTGTGTGTGTGAAATGATCTGCTCAGAGATTGTCCTGTTCAGTGAACAGACTTCTGTTCAGTCTGATTATGCAGAGAGGGGGCTCTGTGATGGAGCGTGGAGTAAGAAAGCAGCTGACTGACAATAAGCGAACAGCGTATTCCTCTTCCCTCGTTGTAACTTGTTGCCTTTGATAAAGACTGAGTGTGTCTATGAGAGTCAGTCTGGGATAGGTTGTATTCACCATGTGCAGTACATTATCAGCCCTCAGAGCACATAGTACAGCAGACATCACTTCCACTATATCAACACAAAAATAGACGATAGAAGAGAGGAAATTCAGCAAGAAACTCCGACAGCAGATAAAAATGCCTGTGCATGCAACACATGACATCCTGAAACTTGTCAAAGAGAGAGGAAAATTGTGTTTACAGCCTGAAATATCTCAACAGCTATTGTTGTACAGACGCTTTTGGTCCACAGATAATTAATTCTACTGACTATGTGAGCCAATGGCCTTTTTGTAGCGCAACCTTGAAATTGCTTTTAAAGGTTTTAAATGAAATGTCTCTGAATTGCTCTGAATTAAATGGAGTACACAAATTCATTAACTCCTGATGGTTATGTTAAGGTCCTTTGGTTTACCCAGGACTTTTCATCTAGTGCTACCATCAGGTAAGAAAAAAGTTTGTAGAACACTTTGGTTCATGACCAAATACCTGAATTTAGTTTTTCATATAAGTTGTGTGAGACAATGGCTAAGATGCTACATTAAGGTTAATATGGTAAAGAATATGTTATAGGCACACATCAGTATAGAAGCATTAGTTACAGTGAGCATGTTGTCCTGTTAGCATTAGCATTTGTCCATAAGCAGCCTCACAAAGCAGTTAGCATAGCTGCAGACAATACCAAGATTTTTGAAACTAAACATGGCAGTAATGGCAGTCTGCTATTTACACATTCAATTGAATCAAAGTTTCAATCAGTGCTTACCTCTGAGTTGATATTGAATTTTAGAAAGTATATCTGTTGATCTAGCTTTAATTAATTTGTATTGCTGCCTGTGTATACACACTCAAAGGGTTATAATCTGGGTTTGACCTTTAGCCTCTTGTCACTGTTTCTGTGGTGAGGGTCCTGACCCGATAGGTTCCTGTGATGTGGTTTTATGGAGTGAAAGAGGATGGTAGCTGCACGCTGTGTGTGTTTGTCCCTGTGGATGGACTCACTGTGTCACGCGGCTCTTACATAACCAGCAGGCCTGCAGGACGACAACACTGTCTCTGTCTGTCACCGACTGTCTTCTGCTACAGCTGACAAAGTTCCTGAGTGTCTCCCTCCATGTTTTCCACCCATGTGTTATTTCTCCCATTACACTCTCTATTCCTCTCTCTCTCTCTCTCTCTCTCTCATTCCCTCTCAGTGTGTCATCCTCTCTCCTTTTTCCTCCACCCCTAACATTTTTTTTCCTTTCTCCTCTAAAAGCAGCGTCGTGATTCTTGCCAACATTTCTCTGCAGCTGGCCTGAGACTGAGCTCATCTGTTTCTCTGGTTTACTGAGCAGTGTGCACTGTTCTGTAGGCTAATGTGTTCACTGTTTATATCATGTGTTTCTGCATGTGCCTTGTGTGGACGCAGACATGTGCTAATGCTTAAGGGTAAAGTAGTAGTAAACTAATTAAAAACTACTATTAAGAGATATATTTAGACACTCCTCTCCTCTCCTCTCTCTCTCTCTCTCTTTCTCTCTCTCAAACTCATGGTTTACTTTCTAACCCCTTCTTTGGTTACTCCTGGTTTTTATGCAAAGCTAAGCTAACCTTCTCCAGGTTGTAGCTCAGTTCTTCACATATAAAATAAACTCTTGAATGGGAAATTAGTAGGTAGAAAAAAACTTGTAGATAAAGAGGGAGTAGGCCTGCATATTGTAACTATTTGTTAGCAAACAAACAGATGAGCACACTGACTGGACACTCATGCTAACAATATCTAAAACCAAAAAAGTATAGTTTATACATTTAAGTGTGTGTGTGTAAATTTAACAAAATAAATATTACCTTAAATGTTCATTCATGGGCTGAGGATGTGCAGGTAGGAAGAATTTAGAACCAGGCACGCTATGGCTAGCTACAGTATGTCCTCCTTGTTACCAGATTTTATGTGAAGTTGGCTTGGCAGTGAAAGAAACACAAATATGTTGAACTATTCAAACCCTGTGTTGCGTGTGTTCTTACTTTATGTGTTGTTGAATTTGAATCCTGGTAAGAAGCCTCTCTCAGCTTTTGCTCCTCCACAAGGATGTCCTTCAGGTGTTCATTCACCTGGAAAGAGAGACGGACAGGAAGAGAGACAGACAGGGAGAAATGTCAAGGTCAAATTTCCCGATAAGCATTATTGTGCACACTGAGACAGAATGGTGAGTCTGTGTTAGAGAGCGGGGAAACTTGAACATGAGCACACAGCAGAGAAAACGTTTCAGCAACTCCACTTCTCATTAGCCACCGGGGCTCAATATTACTGAACCTCGTACACAGAGCTCAGCTGACGCAAACAAATAAAGAACAATTCCAAAGACGACTAATTATAGCATTTCCCCTGAAAAAGCCCCCTCTCCTTATGGTTACTACTTTTCTTCTTTCTTTTTTTTTAACTTCAAAAGGTCAATACAAACATGAACAAACAAACAACATGATGTAACATTTTGGCCTGAGGACGCACAAGATTGCATCGGCTAATCACAACCATGTCGATGCATCACAGAGCTACACAGAGAGCTCTCATCTCATCTGTTTTATATTGTCTGTAATGAAACCTGCATGTGTATCTTCCTGCTTTTGGGCTGGAAAAGGCAGCCGCTAGAACATGAGCTTTTTTTCAAAAAGGAATGACAGCAATCTAGTTGTAGGTCAGCATAATATTATAAAATAAATGTGTCAACACCCACAAGCTCAGTTTAAATGACATAAGTGACATAATATTCTGTAAGATCATGATTATACTTAAGATGCTAACAAAGACTTAACTCCTGCCCTTTTGAAACTTTCAGAGATCTGACCTTAGCCTCCGTGATCCCGCTTTAACAAACCAGAGGAGGCTAGGTTGAGTCGGTTATCTCTGGGTAATCTCTTTGACATGATTAAATGAAGTTCTTCATCTACTTTGTCTTAGAAACTTGTATAATATCAAACCAGAAGTGGGGGAATTGAGCGTGACAAACTTTCCTTTTGTGTCTTCTATTTTCGGAGTAAAACAAAGAACTGTGTGTCTACTGCTGAGAAAGACTCAGGGACCTGTACAGTAGTTAACCTCTGATATGAGAAAGCCCGTGTCCTTGTGGTTTTGAGTTCACAAGAATGTGTTCCAGTGTGTTTGTGTACCTTGTTGATCCAGGTTGTGATCGCGTCCTCTGTGTCATAAGGCAGCTCCTGAACGTTTCCTTCGCTGTGTGAGGGATCAGCGGAGGAGTACCTGTTGATGCAGGACATCACCCGCTCCACGCTCACCATCTCCACAGTGTACGCCATCATCAGGGTGTCAATGAGCGCCAGGTGGGAACTCTGCAAAGACAAACAGCAGCATTGACAGGGTTGTAATTTCAAGCTCTGGTAACTTGACTTCTCAAAAATTAAACTGACAATTAAAAACATCGTCATGCTTCAAATGTCTGCAGACTAAGCTTGAAAGATCTGAGAAAAATATGCAATGTGCTATATTACTGGTCTGTATTGCGATAAAGAAACAAAATTATTTGCTATAACTTGCAGTTTCTGTGTCAGTCTGCTGTTCTCAATGTATTACAGAACACACCTGAGTGTGCAACATCATTCATCCCATCTAACAACAAAATAAATCCTAAAAAGTCTTTTTTTTCCACTAAATTGTCATTAATTAATCCGAGAGTAGCTGATAGCTTCAGTTTCATCTGACCGCATCAAAATGGTGTGACCGCATGGCCATTACACACAGACCTCCGTTGAAATGTACACATTGTTTGGCTACGTTAAAAGTGTTTTTTATTTTTTACGAAGAATTCAGACTTTTGCAATATGTTTATAGCGAATGCCTCTCGATTCTAACAATAAAATCAATATGAATTGCTCAGCCCTACTTGAGACTCAGTCAAAAATTGTCACACAGAAAAACAACATGTTTTTTTCATTCTGCAAAAGCACAGAGATGATCATAAAATGTGTTCTCTTGAAAGTGAAAAGATTTGCTCATATTAACCCTTTGGATCCCACTCTAAAATGAATCTGAGACAACCATTCACAAGACTGCAAACATGACTAAAGAAGTGTTACATCTCTTTTTACAGTAAAATGTTTTCCAACAATCAGTCACATAACCACCATGTTTTTAAGCATCATATCAAACCTGAACATTTTCTAGCCAATGTTTTGGGATCCACACAACAAAGGAAAGGATTTACCTGGAGGTTTCCCATCTGTAAATAACTTGCTATTGACTGAGGAGTAGACAATATACACCACAGCTATCCAGCTCTTTCAAATCACAATATCACAAAATATATGTTGTAGTAGTTTACCATTATAAATCTAATGATACAGGTTATGATCCATATCAGCCACATCTGTAGAAGATACACAGCCTACAGTCCACTTTTCACGCCTTTCCTTTTTTTTACTCACTAATGGAGAATTGGCTTTTTATTTCTGAGACACTTCATTTTCTTTCTCTTTGTGAATTTGTGTGTTCACTCAGATTTAATAAAGCCAAAGTGCAATTGTTTGCGATGTTAGCAATGATCCCTCATTTGCCACACACACATTGTTAGCTCAATGTGTAGTAATTAGCCATCCTAAACTATTCTACCCACAGGAAACACGTCATGCTTCAAACCTTCTGTCTTGTGATTTAAAGGGACAGAAAACATTATGTGTCTCATGATCTGAAACCACTACAAACTCTCTGACATTTCTACATGTAGAACTTTTTTGTATGCTGCACCCTCTTCCTACTCTTCAGTCACTGACTTTTATGTGAGTGTTTTCAGCAGCCATCAACACTGACACAAAGCTCGACATTCTGCTGGCCTTTCTAATCCCATTCCAGGCAGGTCAGACCAACAAGACCTCCCTTTCCTTTTCCTGTCACACCACAGGTCTGCTCAAAAACACTTACATGTGTTGGTTGTGTATGCGTGCTTGTTGCTTACCTAAGCATCTGTCTGTGTTTCCAAGTTAACTGAACAAACACCTAAGTCAGGGGCTCCATGATACCTGTCCCAGTGGAGCCAGGACTGTCAGGCACAGGCCTCTATTTGCTACGACTCTGCTGCTACTGGTGACCAACGTAAGCCCTCACACTTGTACAGATGTGTGTTTGTACAGAGGAAATATGACCCATTAGAAACAAATACAATAACCAGTGTTACCTTATGTCAGGCTATATCCTTAATTCATCTGATATCTATTTCTATCAGGAATCCGTTAAGATGCAAGAAAAGAAAGAAAATGCAATAAATACTTTTTGGCTGGAATCTGACTTTGTTGAACAAATGCTTAAAAGAATGTGTTACATTTTACACATAGATATATCAGAAATCAAGTATATCCTCTCTAAATATCGCTCTGAGACATGACTGTCTACATTGAGGAAGAAGCGGGAGTCCCGCCAGCCCTATTGCTGTCGAGCCATGTTTACATCATGTTTACATGAACGGGACGGCCTTGTGTATAAAGCTAGAGAAAAGAACAATAACAGAGCCTACTCACTGCTTATTTGGATGTTACTTAAGTGTGTTTCGATCATGGTCATTCCGTGTCAATTTATGTGCAATATGAAGCTATGAGTTAACCAAAGTGTGCTAACATTAGCTCGCTAACACAGCAATGCAGACGACACGCAACTGCAGCTCGCGCAAAGGACGGTTTTGTCTGCCGCTAATATTGGTGCGCTCTAATTCATAACTCCCTTGTGCGAAGGTGAAGGGAGAGAGGGCTGGAGGTTTGCCGCTGGAGGAGAGCAAAGGCTTCAGGATAGCGGAGGGAGACACTCATTCTTACCAGACCTGTCTAAAGATGTAAGGTATGTTATTCTCCATCTATGGTGTATTCATTGAGTTAACAGGATTATTTGGATTGGCTCTAAACAAAAGACAGGTGTACTACAAAGCCTGATATTTAACTTTTGTTTGTGTCTGCAGTTCCTGTATCTTCAGGATATTGAGAACATTTTTGACATTGTGTGCATTCTCCACCAGAGGTACGGTATGTAATCTGTCTGACAGCTGGATGAACTGACAACAGAGAGAGAGAGAGAGAGAGAGAGAGAGAGAGAGAGAGAGAGAGAGACAGACAGACAGACAGACAGACAGACAGACAGACAGACAGACAGACAGACTGTTTATAGAGAGACATGTCAAGCAGCTAAGACTGGACCTTGAGATCCAGACAACATGAATTTAGTAAAAACTTACTGAGCATTTTCTGTGATTGAAGATTTTTTAAACCTAATTTGCCAGTGCAAATTGCATTCACCTAAACCAGTGAATTAAATAAAAATTATTTGGGGGATGTCAATAAAGAGCAGAAAATAATGCATTTTATGGTTATTGGGAACGGTATTATAATGATTATATTACTTATATATGTTTATGACTCTAACTCCAAATAGAAAACACAATGTATCTTGTTTACATTTCTGTTTATTCACAGATAAAATAAACAGATATAAAATGACAATGGGTGAGTCTTAAAGTTGCTATAAGGCACTTTGGAAAAAGCCATGCAAGCTGTTTCCCTTTGTTTCCAGTTTGAATGCCAAGCTAATTTCAGAGTCATTTAAACACTCATCAGCAGAATCAATCGTATAATCATCTCTGTATTCCAAAATGTTGAAGTATCCTTTTAAAAACATTTGGAGAAGGCTTTCCTTTTTTAAAAAAATAATCAGCTTCTCTCTGGACTCCTACTTATAATTTTTCTATTTCTTCCAGAGTGGAAATATCTTTGTTATTGATATGATTAATAGTAACATGTGGTAAAACGGTACAGTGATACTACATCTACATTTTTAAAAATATTCTTCCTCTGTATTTTGTGAAGGACGGTCAGTTTCAAGGTTTCTATCATGCATGTGTGTGCGCATATAAGTCAGAGAAGAGGAAAGACAGTACTGCTTACATATCTACACACTCTTCTCGTATCCACTAATGTTGACACCACAGCATGGATTTAAAAGTCATGTGTCTATTATCCCTTCACAGAGACCTTCGTATTGCATTGTGTGTGTGTGTGTGTGTGTGTGTGTGTGTGTGTGTGTGCGCACATGCGTGTGTGCGTGTGGGCAAAGACGCAAAACACCCCTGGTTACAGACACGCCTTATAAGGTTGTGGAAATGGCAGTCTGGTCATAAAGAGCTGCAGAGAACTCGTGCACAATATCTACCACAAGCATCAGCATTCAGACCCACTACTGTTGTATGACCGTGCCTGTGTCTGTGTCTGTGTCTGTGTCTGTGTCTGTGTCTGTGTCTGTGTCTGTGTCTGTGTCTGTGCCTGTGTCTGTGTCTGTGTCTGTGTCTGTGTCTGTGTCTGTGCCTGTGTCTGTGTCTGTGTCTGTGTCTGTGTCTGTGTCTGTGTCTGTGCCTGTGTCTGTGTCTGTGTCTGTGTGCCCTTGATCAAAGGCATCTATAGGAAAAGACTCAGGACTTTACAGCTGAGCAAACAGATAATAAAAGTAACCTCGTTCTCCACAAACATCACAAGTGTCCTTTAACACAGCTACACATCGTTAGATGACCTCCATCAGAAGCAAGAAAAAGGTTTTTGTTGTACAACTTTACACACATGTGCGGCCCTATTCAGCTTTTGTCGAAGTTTAAGATGCATATGTCCAAATTGAAAATAATAAGCGCCTTAGCATTTTTTTCATGCATGCATGCATCCATGAAATCCTCAAAAATCTTTCAGCGTTATTCTGCAGAATGCTTTCAGATGAGGGGACACACCCCTCTGCAGGAAAATTCAATTACCACTAGGCTTTTTCTCTCCTCCGTCACTTTGTCGCCTCGGTGTTTTAGCACTTAGAGGGCAGAGCAAGTGAGCATGTGCGAGACAGAAGGGAAAAAAAAAGGAAACAGGAAGGTAAAGCTTGGAAGGACACAAAAGTCTTGTGCACACTGCTGGAGGTGTGACGGGAGTTGTGTGTTCATGTGTGTGTGCGCTAAGAGAGGGAGGGCTCATTTGTGCACCAGACGTGCTTTGACTCACTGTGAGACCCCACCCACCACAGTGCTGCAGTAGTGAACATCACGTCCTCCTCTGTCCTCCTCTACTCTACTAAACCCTCCCTACTCTGTATGTGCTCCACTCCCCCCCCCCCCCTCTTTACTCCCCCTCCTCTTTCCAGATGGTCATATTAACATTAGACTCCTTTTCTGGAACACACATGTCATCCCCTCACAGCCAAAAAGGCAATACCTTACCCTCCCTCTCCTCTCCTCTCCAAGTTTTCCTCCCGCCTTCACACAACCTTCTCATTCTTCTTCTTTTAGTCTTCCACACTCACCCTTTCCTCTCCTCTCTAGCTCTACTTTCCTTCCTACACGTGGATTGAAGCCAAATAGCAGCTCCTGTACTCCATCTTTCCCCCGTTTCCCCTCCTGCTCTCTCTCTCTAAATCCATTCATCCTGTGACAGACTTCCAAGCTCCTCCCCTTCCCTGACATGAGTTATCCCTCTGTTGCACATGATTTGGAAAAACATGAGGTCATCATTTTCTCTGCAGATATACCATAACCCAAAATGAAAAGCCTCAACTTTAGATTGAAATTAGCCTGCTGACTCCACAAATACACACACACACACACACACACACACACACACACACACACACACACACACACACACACACACACACACACTCTTCTTTAAAGAACTATTAACTTAAACAGAGAGAGTATAAGAATGGACAGCTCACAAATTGAGTGGCTGTGTTTAACACAGATGAAGGTCAACAGCCAAAGGGAGGCTCCATTTGTCTACTTAACACTGTCACTGAAACTGTCCATTAAATCACAGAGACAAGTAGACACATGGAGAGACTTGCACTAGGCTCCACATGTACTTTTGCATGTGTGAAAGGATGTTAGATCATTAAGCTTTGCACCTTACACTGTCCATCACTCCTCCTCCACCATCATGACATCCTCAATCAATGTAGTGCGCAATAAACCGAAAACATAAAAATGTTTTGAAAATTTCCTTCACCCATGACTTTCAACCCTCCTCAAAGCTGAGGAGGTACTATTATGCATGTATCTGAATTTTAAATAAGTGCTAAACCATAGAGAAAAAGAAAGATCAGTGGTGGGCTGATGAAATGCGCTTAAGCTTAAATTAAATATTCAGGAGATAACAGCATCTCGGTCTCATTTAATCCACAAAGATAGAGTTAGGAAGAGACGGAGGCAGTGGAGAAGCAAAGGCTAAAAGAGACCATGACAGGGAGAGAGATGAAGACGGAAGAAGAGAGAGAGAGAGAGGGAGGGGGAGAGATGGGGGGAGAGGGGTACTGCAATGCAGACACCTTTTGGCGTCAGCAGAAGTGCCCAGTCTCCAGCTATGCATGGCTTAGCAGTGTGTATGCATCAGGCTGTCACAGACTCACCCTCGTTTCATGACTTAAACAACACTGTTGACGCACTCAATGGTTCAGAAGCTATTCATTTCTGACAGCGACACTAGTCTGTTTTATGAACTGAACAATGAGGTTTATTATTGATAACTCTATTAACAGAACATTATCCACACAAGTGTTTACAGTTGGATAAGATTAGCTTGTAGCCACTCAGATGTGATTCTCTGATTATTGTCTTAGTAAGTTGAATACTTTTACTTTTGGATTGTCGCTCTTAAGAATAGAATAGAATAGAATAGAATTACTTACTTAATTAATTACTTATTGATCCCAAACTGGGAAATTGTGGAAGCAATATCGGACGACTAGTCTTGATGTTATTACTCATTATCAGCTTACATAAAAAGTAAAAAAGGTTCTGTTTTTCAGTTTCGTTTTGATCATTTATTAGGCTTTACTAAAACAATTACTTTCACAAACGATTTACTGCACTCCTACACTGTGTGTTTAATTATCTGCATGTTTCTATCGATCATGCAATCATGCTTTTAATGGCCTTCTGTAATATTAACTTTACAACAGTTATTATTGACAAAGTCATCTAAATGGACAAAGGGAGTTCTGTGAGTCACAGAGAATACAACATCACGTTTCACTATATGACATTATAGTGAAAAGTGATGTTGTACTCTATAGTATATGTCACTCCTCGAGCTACTGATAGTTAGCATTATTGCTAAGAAGTGTGTGTCTTTACTAATCTAGCTCGTACTTCAGGATTCACACAACAAACTTTTATATCACTGCTTGATAAATAAAATATAAAGACAAATGTATATACAACAAAGTAGCAAGACTGAAGCAAAATGCTTAGGTTGCTTAGCAACTGTCAAGTTTCATCTCAGTTGTGGAAGTACGGGTAGTTGGTGACGAAAGAATGAGAATCTGTTGTTTATCATTATTTTTTTACGACTACATGCTGCTTGAAGGACTGTTGAAAAAAAAAAGTGTCACACATGATTTAGCATTGCCTGCGGCCTCATGTCTTTGACCAAATCACAGCAGTGCTAATATTGAGTACAACATCTTGTGTGATACTGTTTGATGAACTGTATTCAAAATACTTTGTTCAAGCAGATTGCTACATATAGGCTAGCAAAATTCTCAGTGATCTGATGTTGTACTTTATAGCAGCACTCAATAAATGCCAATCCGATTACTTTGTCTGTTGAATAATCAATATCCTACAGGCTCATTAATGGACTTTATTACAGAAATTATATATCACAGCATAATTCAGTCTGCAAACAGTATTGAAATCAAAGTACTAAAATATCTCTTGATAGTGAGAGCTAAGGCATGTCGTGTTTGCCCAGTGCTGTATAATGACACAGAGGATGAACAGTGAGTAATGGGTTGCTATAGGAAACCCGTCATTAGCGGTTGTTTTTCTCTCAACAGGACAGATCTTGGAGGATGGTCTAACAGTTCAACACATAGAGCCATACACACAAACACACTATCAAATAACTCAATTATGAATTCCTATGGGGGTAAAAATGCACAACTCAAAGAACATTTCAGTTTTCACAGCCCAGAAACAATTTGTTTCTTTGTTGACTGACAGAAAATGATTCAGTTAAAGTTATTAAATATGAAATAGCTGGTTCAAACCTCCATGTCTGCATTTCTCCGTACACTCACCATGTGTATAGGCGTGCTAGTGAGGTCTCTCTCAGTAACCAGTCGGTCCTGGTCTGTGACATACAGGCCTTTCTGGGCCAGGGCCTGGATGACGGCGTTGTGACCCAGTAAAGGTTTGACAGCATCACTGCGGAGGATGAGGCTCCCTGCCCGGCAGTACAGCTCTGCAGACTGGAGCAGGCACGCCACAGGAGGCTTCAGGTGCTCCTGGTTGTACTGGTCCCTGTATAGAGGTTCCACCAGCTCCTCTGGTACTGCATCTGAGGAGAGACCAGACACAGGAAGAGAGGTTTTTATTTTTCAGCAATAGGCACCTTTAACCACAGCCCTGCTGTGACACCACTATCTATAGTTAAAGCATTAAGAAACAGCATAAACTATGCTGCTTTTCTTTCAATATTCTTCTACTGGTTGTTGTTGCTATGGCTCCCTTACACACTCAGAGCTTCGCCCTCATATCCACAACCAGCTAAATCTGTACTCACACAACCACACACTAACAGTTCAATTTGGTATACTTTACACAAGTGTAAGTTAAAAAGCAGGAGCACCTTGTAATCCTGTTACCGCATTCAGTAAATCTGATTTGAAGGAAATTGCTTAACTAATCACAACACACACACACACACACACACACACACACACACACACAATCACACACACACACACACACACACACACACACAATCACACACACACACACACACACAGCAACGCACTCTTTTTTTTCTTTACCATTTTGTTGTTCAACACATGTTGTGACTCAAAGTTTTACTACACTAGTCATCAATCTGTCACTGAATGACATACATTTAACATCTGTGCACCTCTATCCTGGACAGTGGCACACTTTTAAAAGATTGTGTACTACTGATGAGTGTGTGTTTCTGGTGTGTAGGGTCATTTCCTCTGAATCACACTGAGGGAAACAAAGGACACTAAAGGAATCTACCTTAAAGGAACAGCTTTCTGTACTTAAATCTTTACAAATAACGCCACTTTGCAAGCAAAGAGCTCATCTAAACAGCTTAATGAAATTAAACACTTCAAGCTCAGTGCAAAAAAAAAGAATCCATTGAGCATGTGATCAAACCTCAGCAGTTTTCCAGTGGCTGTGGTTAGTGCTGCTAACCCCCAAAACAACCCCACACTGGATGATGAAAATATATGTAAAGCAACAGGCAGAAACAAGCCTTTGGGGAATCCAATTTGGTAAATGAAACATCGTTTTTGATGATTAATTATGGTACTTCTGTTAGAAATGGTTAGTTTTGGTGTGCTCTTGGGAGAACAGTCACGCAAAAGCACAGATTCATTATCTGTTTGCACTTTCTTTTTTTTCTTTTTTAAAGACAGCCGGCAACGAAAGCATAGAAAGCAAGTTATTCTAGAGTTCATGAAAATCTGCCTCGTCAAGTAAAACCCCTCTCCTTTGTGTTTGCCATCAAAGAGGAAAAGGACAGGAAGTAGCTGCTACAGGAAGTCCAGGCATGAAGAGGACTGCTCCCCCTGAGACCCTGAGGATCACAGCTCAGCATTCACAACATCACGGTTAGCCGCGCTTATCTCTGCCGGCTAACTGGTAAAAGCTAATCCAGGCAGTAATCTAGCCGCTGAAAGTAGGGCTAATTCTTCCTTAACTGTTTTACAACTAGAATAGAGTTATTAGCCGCATAAGCCTGGATTTAAATCTGTTTTAAGTCCCAAGTTTTTCTTTTAAACAAAACTTATTTGGCAGCCAAACCACTCTGAACACAGTTCTGACATATGATCCTATTTAAGGTAGTTTGGCTGGTAACGCAGACCATTATCTTATCTGGAGTTACCGGCTCTGCTCACACGAGCTACATACTGTATGTCTATAATTAACTTGCCCTTTTAGCTCTGGTTACAGTTTCTACCAAAATGTAATCCAAAATATCTGGAATTTTAGCTGCTAAATCCTGTGCTATGTTCATCAGCTAGCTTTGTCTGACAGTTGTTTAATGCTGGGGAGTTAGCATACAGTACTTTTTTCTAAATTTGTACTTTTTTGTTCATAAAAAAAGTTGGATGCTATGGACAATACAACTCCATGGGGTACAGTGGACAACAGAAAAGCAGCAAATTGAAAAAACACAAACAATGAGCTAAAAGAAGCTTAAACACAATTTTATCGGCAGTCAGGTGCGTGTCCTCTTGAATTTGTACAAATATTGAATACGTGAGCTTCAAAATTACACTCGTGAAAAAAATGGACAGACAAGGTATCAAAGCACTTATCCATTTATAACATGGGGTAAAGGCTGGGCTGAAAGGATGGATTTCATATATTGATCCATTTTAACACACTAAGCAAGCAGCATGAGCACCTCATTTCAGGCACGGTAACATAGAAAACACAGATTATATAACCATTAAAATTCAATGCAGAGCAGTTACTGATCAAAACCTGAAGTCTCTTTATTGCAATAAAGGAGTTTGAATGTATTTATTCAAGCCAAAATCTAAACCACCTGAATCCACCGATCAGTTCCCTCATAGTCTTAACAGCAAAGCAGTATTTATGCAACCATAGCTTGAGTGTCTAAATGTTAATGTTTTTCATTCCTTTTTTTTCGAAGTAGTGCTGAAAAAGCTGCAAAGCTGCATTTCCATCCAAACAGGGGCATCTCCTAAATGATAATGTAGTGTTGGTGATCTGTAGTGCTGCTGAGATACAGCCAAAGGCATGGTGTTGTAGTTGATCATTTGAAATAACCCTTTGGTATCAACTCACTTACAAAACAATAGTTCAGGTCTCTGACAAGCCAATGACCAGATGACAGAAATTCACATCATGTTAAAAATGACATACCGCACTTGGGAAAAGTGTCACAAGGATTTGGTCAAACATTCAATTTATAACCAGAAATGGCTGTTGAGTACAGTGACATTTAATTGAAGTGACTGAATGAAGTAAAGGATGAAGTTAAACAATACCAGATGGCAACCACTAACCACCAGCTAGACCCAAGAGAAGGTTAAAAATAATCAATGCTGTTCATGTATTGATTGACAAGTTAATTGAAAGTTTTGCTTAGAGACCACATGAGACACTGATGATTTATTAAGCAGAGTCGTTTCATGTGTCTCAAAGCATGTCTGGTTAGATCTTCAAAGATACTTGATGCATTAGGGTTGCACTTAAGCAATGTTGTTAAACCTGAGACGGCCATTGTTGGGCCAACTTTGGTGTAATTTTATTTAAAGCCTATATGGAGTTAAAACAGGACTAAAAGGTATCATTACACACCCACTCACAAAACTTCCCACGCACAGATGCCAGGCCACATCCGTGCATAGTATCTTTAAAAAATAGCCCAACTGATACAGGATTAGTGTGATGGATAGCAATACATGCTAAGAGGGGGACAATTAGATGATTAGGAATCCCTTTAGACATTGCCAAATCGAGCAGGATATTTAACGCCGCTGTTTGTCCTAGTGTGCTATATGTAACACATGGAGGCAGAATGGTGGGGCGAAGTCATTCCGCCCCTAATCTGCCATCGTACGTAGTAACAGTGGGGAACGTTGGCAATGTACAATGTGTGTGTGTGTGTGTGTGTGTGTGTGTGTGTGTGCATGCCTGAGTGTGTGCGTGAAGCGCCCGCTGTTTGTTTACACATCTTGTGCTTCTGTAATGTAAAATAACAAACCCAGAAAACAATACTACGGAAAAAAGTCATGGTGAAGGGGAAACTTTGCTACATATTTTTGAGTAGAATCGCACTAAACATGACAATGCAAATGTCCCCAGAAGGCTGCTTTCTTTAACAATTAACCAAATAATTAAAAACTGTCAACTAATTGTAGTGCAGACCACCATCTGCTCTGCTGTGATACTCGACATCTGCGGCAGACAGTGCCGGGAGTATGGAGCGGCTCCACTGGACAAACTACACCAAGACACCATTTGTAGTCCATCCTGACATTGTTTTAGCATTATATTTACTGTAAAATAAGTTTAAGGATTGGTCCATAATGGCCCTCTCCTCACTCCTTCTGTTGTAAAATAAACTTATTACCTTCTCTTTCAAGAAGTGTTAAATAATATTTCTACTTCACATCTAGGTACACACACAAATAAATCTCTCTGACGTCTCAAAACAAACTTTTCAACTGATGAGGGATTTGTTACATCCGAGCATCACCAGATTCAAACTATCGCTCATCCGTCCAAAGTAGGCCAAATGAGCTCTCTGAGGACCGCGTATGAATTGGGCCACAGTTCTCGGCGGTGCTGGGAGCTAAAACTGTGTCACTGGAGGGGACGGGTAAAATATGGTGGCAGTACAGTATGCTTACAGCTACAAGTCTTATGAACTAAAAGGTTCTCTCACATGTTGCTGCCCTCTACTCTGTACATCTCTACAACAGTCAATCATGTACAGCCCTGTTTGGCACTCACTATGGGATATATGGGTGCGTCTTTTGACCTCTGTCTCTGTCTGTAGGGCTGTGTTGTGGCTGTTCAGAGACTGTGAGTATTGTGCAAGGAGCTGGTTAAAGTGTTCATTAGGAGCACGAGTAAACCTTTGGGGATGAGTGCAGGCAGGAATTACTCTTTATGAGTGCAGGCGGACAGAGCTGCAAGGCAGACAGCAACTTGCCAGAGCTCAGATATCTGTTTCCATTGACACTATAAGTTAAATGTAAGAGTCTGCTGTCTGTCTCCCTATTTCCTGCTCTTCAATCATGATGATGGGAAACGACACTGTATAACTAATATCTTCTTAGTTTAGACTTGGGTTATAGTAATGTGTTATGATCCAAATGACAAAAACAAGGAGTTCCTCACAGGAGCTTTTAAATGCACATTGGCTCTTTGCATTTGTTTTTAGTGAGTCAGTTAATCACCAAATTAATCTGCACACATGCTGCAGTCCTAACCTGCAACATGGAAGTCCTCTAAGCATCTGTTGATCAGACATTAGTCAGTGGAGAACTCTGGTCCAAAGTGTTACATAATAGGCTTGTCCTGACTTCTGCAGTGAGGAACAATTAGCAACAAGTTACATCATTGACACTGTGAAATAAGCAGTGAATGACCTAAATGTATAAGAATATGGGTATATGGATCTATTATTGCTCAAAATGTATCAACTTGCTGCTACTTCATAGCAATATGAGAAATATTTATGCTTATAGTAACAAGGGAGAAACATTGAAGATACTGTGATGTGTCAGTGAGTGTGATGAATGCATGCTGTTTACAGATGAGTCCATCTTGTAACTCCTGTTGTCCAACTCAACATCAGTCCATATTGCGAGACATTTAAGATGATGATCTTAACAATGTTTTCCACTGACTCTAACCTAGAGATGGCACGATTATGAGGCGCCAGCACCTACCCGAGCCGAAAGCCTTGGCCACGAGCCACGTCAGGCTGCAGGATATCTTGGCCCTGGTGAAGTCGTAGTGATCGAAGCTTTTGATGGCAGGGACGATGAAGGTCGGTCTCATCCCCCTGTCATCTGCAGCATCTCCCATCTTCTCTCTCTCTCTCTCTCCCTCTCGCTTCAGTGCAGCCGGAGGATCAGTCAGCCTCAGGAACTCCCCCCTGACTGCGGATGACATCCCGTCCAGAGGAATTCAATGCAGCAAAATTTCCCCCTTCTCCAAAAAAAAAAAAAAAAAAGAAAAAAAAAAACTTTGAGCGTGGCCTGGGAGTGCACGACGACTTGGGCTCAGAAAAAAAAAGCCCCCTTACATGAACACCATCTCTAGTTTTCAGCTCTTAATGTTCCAGGGTATTCTTGAACCCCGACAGCCCAGCGCAGTTTAGCAGCATGATTTCAGAAGATTTCCCCCCATTCCCTGACATGTTTATCCGACATAACGGAGCAGCTGAGCGGCGGAGGAGGACAGCTGGAGTCAGACACGCGAGGACGGCCTCAATCTCGAAAGAAAAACGCCTTTACTCCTTGTATATTCTTACTGCTTTTTCCTCCAACCCCCCCTTTTTTTTTTAATCTCTCTCTCTCTCTCTCTCTAGCTACGCGGCGTCTTCCCTGCGCTTTTCCTGCCGCACTGTTCGGGGGACAGAGCGCGCTGCGCATGCGCGATCCACCCACCCAAGTCTTTTCAGTCCTGACAGGAGTCAGCACACTAACAACCAAGGTGGAGTTCACTGGAAGGAAGATTTCTAACAAAGTCCCAGATGTTGTTTCCATGGAGAAACTCAAACTGAAATGCACTTTTACTCAGTTCTTTACAACACAGTCTCCAATAATACCCATTAATAATAAAACTAGGCTACCACCCTTAACTTAGGCATATAGCCTATAATTATTACTGTAAATATTTAATGAGCATCTCCTTGAAATCAATACGTCACCCTTTGGAAATAAAGATGTTTCTTAACCTCTCAATCTCCCTCTTAAAAAGGATTAGAACTGGTAGGCTATTATATCTTTTCATTTTGATTATCAATTAAATGTCCTAAATTAAATCAATCTTTAGGCCTATTTGTGGCCTATTCATAACAAATGTCTCAGGACACTTTACAAAAAGCGGGTAAAAGACCTTACTCTTTGTTTTATTAGGTTACAAAAGAACAGGTAAAATATCTTAGTCATTGTTATATTATCTACAATGACCCAACATTAATCCATCATGAGCACAACACTGAGCAACATTTGGCAAAGTTACAGTGGCAAGAAAATAAAGCCTTTAAGAGGCAGAAACCTCAAACAGCTATCTGCCAAAACTGTGTTAGGCTCGTGAAGTGGGATAGATGGAGATGCAGGAAGAAGAAGATGGATAGAGACAAACAGAGCGAATGATTTCCTTTTTCTGGTTTACCTCTTTCTCTCAACACACTATTTAAACTTCCCCTGTTTGGAGGTTTTAATGGTCTTTATGTGCCTTTTTGTGTTTGTCTTGTATTTGCTTTGAGTTGAGCATCAGTGTCGTTATAAACAAGGGTTTTCCCTAAATGATCTGTCAAGTATAAATCAGCGCTGATTGATTGCAGGGTCTCTGTGATTGTTTTTATACCTGTTTTGATTTGAAAATGAGTATGAAGAATGAATAGGCCTATAACTGATTATAGTAGAGACAGAGATTGTGTTTAAGATGCTACAAGTACAGGAAAAGTTGACTTGGACTTCATCAGGCAAACAGAACATTTGCAAATTGAAAGACTTTAATCAGCAGAATGCTAATAAAAAGAAATAAAATATTGTTGCTTTTGTCCAACCCGTAAACATCCATCAAATAAATATTTTGTTTTTACTTTGTTTAAAATGACTTGTGTAATATTTTAGGGTGAAGGCCAGATCATTTTCTTGTGGCATGAGCAGACCCATATTGACAGGAAACAAAACGATAAAGGGACGTGGAGGCCCCAGCTGGTTCGTATAGAAATGTGTATGTTTCTGAAATAGTCCTGTACCTTGTTGTGAAAGTATTTGCTCAGGCAGAGAGCAGCAAATAAGATGCCCTTAGGGAGAAAAAGGAATACATCCTCACTGTGCATTTTAGACAGTTATAGGGATGAATAAACATAGTGTCCCCTCTAATTAAAAAAAAAAAAAGTCAGGACTGATCCTCTATCACAGAGAACATATGCTACATTATTATCCCAGCAAATCAACACCTAAGCCTCTTAATGATCTCTTAGAGGGGAGGCTTGTGATGAATTGAAATATGATGAAGCACTCCTGTAGGGCAGCGACACAACCTACTCATCCAAATCATACAGATTCCAAAGTTTTACCTGACAATGACAATATGACAAATATCTTAAGTTTATATTCACAAACCTAGTTTCAGCCAAAATAAGAAAAAGATTAAAATGCACTTGAACACCTGATTATTAAAATTAAGATAATAGCAAATTATTTCGAGTATATTTATCCCCAGTAATTGTCCACTTTTACTTGTTTTGAAAGTTTTTAGGAAGCTAAATGATAATAAACTAGCTTCCACTGTACTATCTTTAAAGCTAAGGCTTAAGGCAAACAGAGAAGAATAGAAGAGAGCAGGCATACACGGTTATAGCCTACAACAGCCATGGAGAGAGTACAGTTTTAGAAACACAGGGAGAATTCAAATAAAATAATTTGACAGCAGGTTCAAAAACGAGCTGACACAGTGAATTAGGGAAAGATCCATGAGGAAAAATAATATAAGTGCAAATAATATTTGTAGACATTTTATACTAAGAGGAAACAATGAAAGTGAAAAAGCAAAACACATTTGTGTATTAATTGTAAAACCTCAGGATAAACAGTGGCCCTGCTATGTGTACCTTGAAAGGGCCTGTTAGGAGGGAATGAGGAGCAAAGTGTAACAACAGCGCCCCCTTGTGCCTTAAGTAGGTTGTTACAGCTGAAGTGAACAGGAAGTGTATCTTATATATCAGTCAGTAGGTGGCAGGCTTACGCTCTATATTTATCTGAAAGGCCCCTGCCCTGCTCAGTTAACTCTCTCCAATGGCCCTAAATCATTTAGACGGCACTCAAATGCTCCTTTTATCAGTTTTATTGAGTGGTTCACGTTTAAAAACAATGACAAAATCTGCAGTGATGTCCTCACAGTGGTTTTTTCAGCATTAACATTTTAGTGTTCTCAAAATATGATTAGCCTATTTCTGAATTTTCTACAGATAATTGTCCATCTTCATTACTCCTCGTCCTCCTCTGTGTACATGGAATCATCGTTGTCTGCACCTCCAGCAAATCCCACAGTCATTCGAGAGTCATTACCGATCATAACATAGTTAGCATTATTAATATGAATATTTGGCTGCTGATGCCACCGAGCCTTGTCGTCCTGCTCAGGAGGCAAATCGGGATTCAGAAGAAGTTTTTGTTCCAGCAAAAGGTCGAGTTTTTCTTTTTCCAACAACTTTACCGCTTTACTTTCTTCAAGCAGCTGCTTTCGGTGCTGATTCGATTGCTGTAGCCTCTCCTGTTTCTTCTTCTGCATCTTCAGCGTCTGCTCCTCAGTCCACATCTTCCTCTGTCTTTTAATGACTGCTGGAGTCATGGCCTTTTTTACTCTTTTCTCAAAGTTCTTATTTTCCTCAAGAGTCGTTTTCGTGCGCAAAACTAAAGGTATGTCCTCTCTGGACATGAAGTTCTCCCGTGGAAGCACAGGGATCACGGTGTTGTACTTGTGTTTCTTGTGGATGGAGTTGATGAGGGCCGAGTCTGCCTCCACCTCCTTCATGGGAGTGTTGAAGTTGCGAGTGAGCAGCAGGAGAGTGAAGGCTGAGTTGTTGATGGCATCCTCCACACACCTCAAAGTGCTCTTTCCAGCGACGTCAAAGTCATCACAGAAAATTGCGCCATCAGAACCAGTGACTGTTTCCAGTTTTTCCTTCATGCTCTCAGCTACATCTTCATCCTCTGGTGCATGCAAGATAACGAATGCATAAAATGTTTCCTCTTCTTCATCCTCAGTACTATCACTCCTTTGCATAGCGTTTGCAGCTGCCATCTTTGGCAGGTTAATGTGTGTTGAAACAGGTAAATCTGATGTAGGTTCTGTGGTTGGTTTGGTGGGTTTGTTTGTAGTTGGATGGATAAGAATGTCCAACTTCTTGCTCTCTGCAGCTGATTTGTCAACCTTTTTTGGATTTTGCTTTTCATCAAACACTGGATGATCAATAGATTTCAAGGTATCTGATTGTCCAGGAATTGGATCGGGGGAGTTTATTTTGGGTTCCTCTGATGTTTCTGGAGTTCTTTTGTCATCTTGAAAAGAGGCGGTTGTCGGTATACTGATCTCGAGATGAGTGGGGTATGAGGGCATGGAGCAGCTTGCCCTTAGTGGGCTGGGCAGATTGTGTCCGCTCTCTGACTGATCTTGAGAAGGACTCACTTTTAAAGCTGTGTTTGCTTCACTTAGACTTATAAGAGGATCACTGTTAGACTCCGAATCGGGCCCTGGAGCAGAGCATAGCCACTCTGCAAACTCAGGCCCACAGACCTCCTTAGCTTCATCTCTGAGCTGACAATACTCCAGATCGCCATTGCTGCTTGTCTTTTTGTCATCACTGGAAACGGCTCTCTTGTACGCCAGATTTCTCAGAAGTGTGTCACACAGCCTCTGTTCTGACAAAACCTTAAAAATACGTGCCAAAGCCGCCCAAGATTCTCCAGTGAACCCTTTAGAATCACCACAGTGGACACTGAAATCTTCTAATTTACCTCCACTCAGCTGCCATTTTTCAGCCAGATGGTTAGCAAGGTGGTTTTCTCTGAGAGTCTGGAGTTTTTCCAGAGCCTGCGCCTCTCTCTTGAGAACAATCAGACACAAGGCGTGTATGATTTTATCTTCTGGAGACTCACCCAACTTGAATGTCAGGCTTAGCAGTCCCTCCGAAGGTGCTTTAACTAGAATGTCGAGGGCATCTCTTAGTCCTGTCCCCGGATTTTCTTGTCCTGTGTGACTCATTATTGGTTTTACTAAATAGTCAACCTTCAGTTTATTTTTTTTATCAATGAAGCATATTTTTCTTCATTTCTTTAAATAACTGGAGTTGTTGAAGAGAGACGTGAATGTTGTCGTTGACAAAGTTGGTCTATAAAGAGATAAAAACAACAAAAATCTCGAGTTAAGTCTTCACATTACAACATGTTGGATCTTTTGGACTTTATCTCCATGTAAAATAAACATTGTAATGTTAAGAGCCAAAGTTCAATGTAATCCATTAAACCTTTTACTATATTTCCACTGAGAACAAATTGACCTTCAAACTTATTTTCTGACACTAAATGGTAAAAAACAGAACTCACCCGCATGGAGTTCTAGGCACCATAACATTCAATGTAGCTTCCAGCTCAAATAAGGAAGTCCCTCTGTCTCTTTTTCCAGCTCAGCTCAGACAGCAGAAAACTGTTTGTCCTATCAGGAAGTTGTTTGTTAACTTTTGAGAGCGACCTTTGCACTACACAAGTGCAAGACATGAGTCTTATCAAACTTTTGATATCAACTTATTTTCTCTGTAGCCGTACCTCTCTTAGCTCTTGGCCTCTGCCACCTTGACTAAACTTTTGCAC